ACACACACAAACACACACAGTTTCTGCATGAAAGGTCTTTTTAAATGTCAATCACCTTTTCCTTACATCAGCAAACAAATAGTATGATTTTTTCCTGTTACAATTTAACAGGTGACACAATTTTTTGCATGTTGCACTGTGGTGGGTAATTCAGTATTGTGGTCCTTGAAGCTCATATTTTTCATTTCCTGCCTTGTTCAACAATATAAGCAGACAGAAAATTAGCTCAGAATCATAACCAAGACCATACTCTTCTTAAAGGTGGAAGATGTCAGTTGAGTGCTTTACAGCTTTTTAAGTGAGGCAACATCAACACAGCCTAGTGTGTATCTGATAGTAGTGGTTGTGTTTTCCTCTCTTTGTCTACAATTATTTAATTGAGAGAGCAGAGAGAGGCCCTGGACCTCAGTACAGGTCTTCATTTGTTTGTTGTTACAGATTATAATTAAAGGGCTGAAAGACAACAGAATGGGTCGGGATGCCTTCTAATTAGTGAGGAGATCCAAAATCTGTGCGAACAACATTAGTCTGTGTGAGTGTGTGTATGTGTGTTTCCTTGCTGAAAAAAGGAGGCATTCACTGATTAAGGGAATTAATTCAGTAATTTAAGATCATGATAGAGATATTCAAGGCCATTACTCATTCATTCTAGTGAGAACATTTTAGCATCATTTTAGGTCACAAAGTAATAATTGGAGCAATTTGGGGTGCCCGTATAGCTCACCTGGTAGAGCCATGTACCAAGGCTGAGTCCTTGCTGCAGCCCTCCTTGGTTCGAGTCTCCCGCCTTTCCTGTCACTCTTCAGCTGTCACTTTCAATTAAAGGCAATAAAAAATATTAGAAAATAATGATAATCAATAATAACTTAACAGTTCACAATTTTAAGCTTGTAGACTCAAAACAATATACTTCAGTACCGTTCCCTTGTGTGACATTACACCACTTTTTAATGTATTGAAACAATGCCCTAGTAGAAGCCCTGTAATTATTAATTAATTAAATGATGATTTTGTAGGTCCTTCCTTCCTGCTGCTGTCAGACTGTTTAACACCCAGCACTGCTCCCAGTAACCCCC